AAAATATATTATTATATTAATTAAAATAGTATTAAGTAAAGTTGTTTATATAGTATTTAACCATATATTTATCAATTATTTATTAAGTTATAAATAAAAATATAATTGCAATTTTTTTCTTAACACACTGTACATTAGATGGTTTTTTTTCATTAAAATTACTACAGTTATTATTTACTTGATGCCAATTCAGGACTTACCGAAACAAAGTTTATCAGTTGGGCTGATGAAAAAAAATCTGCTATAGGTATTCGTTTATTTATTTATTCAGAATAATAAAATGAATGTACAAAATTAATGTGAGATAAAAAATTTATTTTTTGAAAGATTCTGTTGGAATGCTGCTACCGAACATCGAAGCTAAGATAATAGCAGAAGATGGGCGAGGTATACTATCGCTTTACAACTTATAAGCAGATACAGCATATCTTTTTTATAATATAATTTATTGATTAGAAATGGGTTATGATGATCCCGGAGAACTTTGCGTTCGAGGGCCTAGTGTAATGAAGGTTTGATTTCAAAGCAACTATACATTATTTTATAATTATGGAGTCAGGAATTTATTATAATTTATTAGGGATATCTAAACGATGAATGTACAACCAATAAAGCATTTGATAAAGATGGATTTTTATATATGGGCGATGTCGCTGTTATGAATAAACAAGGTGAGTGGTAATTTTTTTGGTAACAGAAATAAAATGGATCTATTTCGAATTCTACAGTAATACAATTTTACCTTTATAGGAAATTTAGATATAACTGATCGTCTTAAAGAATTAATTAAATACACGGTATGTATATTAAAAGGAAATATATTTAAAGGCCTTAACAATTTATGTCCTTCTTTTACATAGGGTTTTCAGATCGCACCTGCAGAGCTAGAAGAAATTATAATTTCTCGTCCTGCAGTATTAGATGCTGCCGTGTTGGCGTTAACTGTGAAGCTGATGTTACCGAATACCCACTGGCATATGTTACTTTTCAAACTGACTACAAATTGTCATCGGAAATATTGAGCGAGATAAAAGACTATATAAAAAGCCGAGGGAAATATTATATATTGACCAAATACCAAAAAGTGCATCGGGGAAGATATTAAGAAGGATATCGAGGGAGAAGGCTAAAGCAGAGAATGTATTTACTCATTGAATATACTGTATAGTGTGGATCTTTTCAGTATAATTATAAATTATTATAATTCTTTACAAACCGGACTCCGCAGATAAATCTATATTGTTGGGGGTGATAACGGCGAGTCTGTCGCTACGTCGCGATCGCCGATCGTGTAACGTCGAAAGAGGCGTGG